GAAGTTTTTTCAGTGTTTATTTTTTCATTTATAAGACTTGAACTCGAGAGTTTATTTGAAAAAAACCAAATTCTTTCTACTCGGACCATCAAGTCATTTGTACTTTGAGACCTTTTGTTTTGTTGTTTCTCACACAAAAGAAAGAAAATTTTCCTGCTCACCACTATGTAGCCCAGTGGCCACGCTTTTCATTTGAGAAGCAAAGTGGGGCACTTTGCTCTCTAGGTCGAATCTAGTGCTCCACATTTTCCCCTTTTCTTTGAATAAATACTAATACTACTAATATAATTTTGACTGTAAAAAAAAAAGAAGAAAATTTTCCCTTTTTTTTCACTAGATTTAAGCTTGGTTTGGTGGTATTGTGCTATGCTAGAGTAATAATTTTATTTTTATCTTTTTATTATCTAAAAAATATATTAAAAAATAATTACAATTAATTAAAAATTAAAAATTTATTATATATATAAAGTAAGGTATTATATTGAAAAAAATGTCAGAAACTCTTACAAACAAAGTCTTATTATTTTTGCACTTTTATTTATTAATAAAAATTAATTTATTAATTGAGTACCCCAAACATCATACAAACCATCATCAAGTCCTATCCAAACAACATCCTAAACACAGCACAAACACTAACATACTCCTATATAGCAACGCAGCTCAAACCGAGCCTAACATTGTGGCCAATAGCCATAACTTGTTTTGAAAAGTATAGTAATATTTAAAAATTTAAAATATAAATATTAACAATCTCGTTTTTCATCGTTAATTATATTAACTTAAACTTAAAAAAAACAAACACACACACAACTAACATACTCCTATACACCAACGCAGCCCAAACCGTGCCCAACATACCTCTTAGTCAGACATCATACTCCTACACGTATGGAACCCCTGAATCAGACACCTTAATGTAAAAGGCAGAGCGGCGGCGATCAACACATACCGGAATTTCACCGATTCTTTTGGAGTAACAGCGAAGATCGCCGACCCATAAGTCACCAACATGGCAATCGTTGCAGCCAATATTTCAAGTTGAAAAGGGAACTTGTGGGTGAGAGAGATGATGACCAGAATCGACGTTGAAAGAGCTATGGTATTAGAGATCAAGAAAACATAGTAGGCGTGTTTTTGAGAAGCATAGATGGCCCTCCCCGGAACATGCCCTAGTCCTTCATCCTGCCATACCCCACCGGGAGGATTCACCCCTGCCTGGAATGTTACGGTTGCTATCAGCGTGGCTACCACCAAGAGAATGTTCCGGGCGTCGGTCGGCGAGTCTCGGCCTTCTTCATACCGGAAGTAGCTGAACCAGCTGCGGGTTTTGGGTGGCGGCGGCTGTGGAGCTGCCATGCTTTTCAAGCTTCAAGGAATGCCAATTTCTTCCATTCCAGAATCTTAAATAGCTAGAACTTGGGTTTGGAAACGATCTGCATTCACACTACTGGTTGACTGGTTAATTATTAAGTCAATGAGGCTAAAATGATGGGTTTTCCTTTCCCAAAAGAAATTACAGAGTAATGATTTTTTTTTTTTTTTACTGCTATAATTTTGGGATGAGAGAGAAGAAAATGAGGTCAAGAGTGTGTTAAAAACTTGATCGAGTGATAAATGGTATTATTTTTAATTTTTATTTATGAGTTTGTTTAAATTGTATTTTAGTATAGATTAATGATATATTAAATATATATTTTTATTATAAATTTATAACAAAATAATAAAAATTAATTTTTAATTTATTAATTATCTAATTAAATTTATTTAACATCAAAATTAATATTAATTTTTATATTTTTATTTATATTTATAATAAAAATATATTATTAATCTATATATTAAGGATAAAAATTTTAAAAAAAACCTTCATTTATTTATAGGCGAAGTTCTACAGTATAATGATTGGATATAATTTAGGTTAAATGCTAAATTTGATCCCTTAACTTTAGTGAGTTGCACATTTTTGGTCCCTTAACAATTTTTTGCACTTTTTTTATCCCTTAACTATACGAAATGCATTTCGTTAGTCTTTCTGTTAATTTCAATCGTTAACTCGCTCACGTGGCATTTTTTATTTTTTTTTATGACGTGCCAAAAGCAAATTGAAAACATGTTGACGTAGAATTTTTTTCATGCCAACTCACATTATTATTATTATTTATATTTTTAAAAAATAAACTAATATAATTCGTTCATCTTCTTTCTTTCTTTTTTTCTTTTTTTTTTTCTTCTTCTTCTTTCTTCCTCGGGTCATTGAACCCTCTGTTAGGTTCGGTGGAACCCAGGCGGGGTTCCGTCGAACCCAGCAACTGGGTTCCCCT